AAACTCAACAGCATTTTAAAGAGATTGTTCATTATGATAAAGTGAGAGTTACCCTAAGGATACAAGAATGGTCAAAATATGCAAATCTATAAATACGATACTCCACATTAACACAATGAAGCAAAAAACCCATGACTATCTCAACAGATTTTGAAAAATATTTGACAAACTTCAATCCCTTTCCTGATAAAATCCTCAACAAATAAGGTAGTGAAGTATTGTACCTCAACATAGTAAAGACCATAGACAATAAAAACCACAGCAAAATTCATATGCAACAGTGAAAAATTGAAAGCTTTTCCTCTAAAATCAGAAACAAGGCAAGGATGCCCCCTCTTGCCCCTTCTATTCCACAGAGTACCAAAAGTAACTCCCAGACAGAACAATAAGGAAGGAAAAAGAAAGAAAAGGCATCCAAATTGGAAAAGAAGTAAAATTGTTATTGTTCGCAATCAATATGACCATAGAAGTAAAACTGTCATTGTTCACAGTCAATATGACCATAGGTACAAATTAATCCTAAAAACTGATGAAAATTTCAAAAAGCTTCAGAATATAAAATTTAACATACAAAATCAGTGGTATTTCTTTTGGCGGGGTGAGCAAGGTAATGGTAAACTAACCCAGGGGATGACTTTTCTATACACTCTATACATCAACATCTAAAAAAGAAATAAAGAAAACATCCCTAAGGCTGGGGATGTAGCTCAGTGATAAGAGCACTTGTCTAGCATGCAAGAGGTCCTGGGTTCAATCCTAAGGGAGGGAGGGAAGAAGAAAAGAATTCCACATATAATAACTACAAAAAAGTAAAATGCTTCAGAATAAATTTTTTGTTGTGGTTGTTGGAAAAAACTTCCCTTTTGTTCAGATAGAACCCTCCTGACATGTAGCTGCTTCAGAATAAATTTTGATTTTGTTTTCCGAGATAGGGTTTTACCTCAAATTTCTGGACTCAGGCAATCCTCCTGCTTCAGGTTATAGCTAGGACTACAAGCACACACCACCATACCCACTTTCAGGAATAAATGTAATGAACCAAGAAGGTTGCTGTGGTTTGAATACATGTTTTTCCCTCTGAAACTCAAGTGGAAGCTTGATTTTGCAGCAGTGTTGGATGGTGGGCATTGGGTCATGGAAGTAGAGGTCTCGTGAATGGATTAATACCTTTCTTGGATGAGTGAGTTCTCACTCTCACAGAATCACATTAGTTCCTGCAAGAACAGGCTGTTATTAAGCGAGTCCACCTCTGTATTTTGTCTTTCACCGGCACCTGCTTGTCCTTCTGCTTTCCAACATGAGTTGAAGGAGCATGAGGCCCTCACCAGAAGCTAAGTAGATGCCAGCATTATACTTTCACACTTCCCAGGCTCCAAAACCCTGAACCAAAATAAACCTCTCTTCTTTACAAATTTCCAGGCTCCATTATTCTATTATAACAATGGAAAATAGATTATGGCAGAGGTAAAAAGACCTAAATGCTGAAAACTACAAAATGCTGATAAAAAAAAAAATTGAACAAGACACAAATAAATGTAAAGATATCCTGTGTTCACAGATTAAAAAAAACTGGTATTGGGACTGGGGTTGTGGCTCAGCCATAGAGCGCTCGCCTAAAGCGTGCAAGGCCCTGGGTTCAATCCTCAGCAACACATAAAAATAAATAAATAAATAAAGGCATTGTGTACGACTAAAAGAAATTTTTTTTTAATTTTTTATTGTTGGTTGTTCAAAACATTACAAATTTCTTGACATATCATATTCCACACTTTGATTCAAGTGGGTTATGAACTCCCACCTTCACCCCATACACAGATTGCAGAATCACATCAGTTACACATCCATTGATTTACATATTGCCATACTAGTGTCTGTTGTGCTCCGCTGCCTTTCCCATCCTCCCCCCCCCTCCCCCCTCCCCACCCCTCCTCTCTCCTCCTCTCTCTCTACCCCCTCCACTGTATAACCCTGAGGGTCTCCTTCCATTTCCATGCAATTTCCCTTCTCTCTCCCTTTCCCTCCCACCTCTCATCCCTGTTAAATGTTAATCTAAAAAAAAAAAGAAAAACTGGTATTTTAAAAATGTCCATACTTCTCAATCTATAGATTCAATGTGATTTCTATCAAAATTCCAAAGACATTTTTTATAAAAATAGAAAGCAATGCTAAAATTCTGGAGAGCCAATCAAATATTATGCAAACAAAGCTGAAGCATCACACTACCTGGCTTAAAAATATACTACAAAGCTACTGTAATTAACATGGTATTGACATAAAAACAGATATACATATAAATGTATCTGAATATACAGCCTAGAGATAAATCCACACCATTTACAGTCAACTGATTTTTGACACAGATGCCAAGAACACACAATAGGGAAAGTACAGTCTCTTCAATAAATGATGTTAGAAAAATAGGATATTCACATACAGAAGAATGAAAATGGATTTCTACCATACACCAATATCAATTTAAATGGATTAAAGACTTAAATGCAAGACCTAAAACTGGAAGACTACTAGAAGAACACAGGGGGAAGTTCCATAACATTAGTCTGGAGTATGAGTTTTTGGATATGAACTCAAAAGCACAGGCAATAAAAGCAAAAATAAGTCAGGCATAGTAGTGCACACCTGTAATCCCAGTGGCTTGGGAGGCTGAGGCAGGAGGATTACAAATTCAAAGTCAGCCTCAGCAACTGAGTGAGGGCCTGATTAACTTAGCAAGAGCCTGTCTCAAAATAAAAAATAAGGACTAGGGATGTTGCTCAGTGGTTAAGAGCACCTGAGTTCAATCCCTGTTACCACCCTCACCCCCCCAAAAAATAGACTAATGGAACTTTATCAAACTAAAAACCTATTGCACAACTAAGGAAACCATCTGCAGAGTGAAAAGACAATCTATGGAAGAAAATATATGTATCTGAGGAGTTAATATCCAAAATACATAAGGAACTCAACTCCATAAAAAAAACAACCCAATTAGAAAATGGGCAAAGTATGTGAATAGATACTTCTTTTAAAAAAGATGTATACATGGCCAACAGATAGGTTTTTAAAAGTTCAGCTTCACTAAATCAGAGAAATACAAATTAAAACCACAATAAAATATCCCCTCACATCTGTTAAAACAGCTATTATTAAGTCATAGCGTAGGGCTAGGGGTTGAGCTCAATGGTAAAGTATCTGCTTAGCAAGCACCAGGCCCTGAGTTTGATCTTTAGCACAAAAGAAAAAAATAAATAAATAAATGTTGGAATGTTGGAGAGGATGTAGAGAAAAAGAAACCCTATACACTGTTGGTGGAAATGTAAACTGGTACAGATACTATAGAAAGCAGTATGAAGGTTCCTCAAACTATTTAAAAAATGAACTACCAGGGCTGAGACTTGCCTCACATGTGTAAGGCACTAGGTTCAATCCTCAGCACCACATAAAAATAAGTAAAATAAAGGCATGCTGTCCATCTACAACTACAATAAAGAAAAAGAAAAGGAAAGAAAGAAAGATGATCCAGCAATCTCACTACTGGGTATATATCCAAAGAAAAATTAAATCAGTGAGTCAGATATTTGCACTCCTGTGTTCATCGCAGAATTATTCACAATAGCCATGATTACTGAATCAGCCTAAGTGTCCATCAACCAATTAATGAATAAATACAATTGCAATGCTATTCAGCCTTTAAAAAGAGAGAAATGTTGTCATTTGCAACAACATGAGCAAACCTGAAAGACATGTTTAGTGAAATAAACTAGGCATCAAAAAATAAATGCCACATAATCTCAATCACATGAAGAATCTAAAAAAGTTGAACTCAGAATGATGGTTAACAAAAGCTGGTGGGGGAAGGATTGGGAGATGTTGGTCAAAGAACACAAATTCTCGTGGGAATAAGTTCAAGATATCTATTGTATACATGATGATTATAGTTAATAACGATGTGTCATATTCTTCAAAATCACTGATTTTTTTAAGTGTTCTCACCCAAAAAAAATGGTGTGAAGTAATGCATATGCTAATTAATTAAATGTAGCCATTCCATAATATATACATATTTCAAAACATGCTATATACAATAAACATGTACTTTTTTTTTTTTTTTTTGATAATGGGGATTAGACCCAGGGGCGCTCAACCACCAAGCCACAACCCCAGCCCTTTTTTGTATTTTATTTAGAGACAGGGTCTCACTTAGTTGCTTAGCGCCTTAGTTGCTGAGGCTGGCTTTGAACTCACAATCTTCCTGCCTCAACCTCCTCCACAGCCAATGAGATTACAGGTGTGGGCCACCGTGCCCAGCCTATGTACAATTTTTGTCAAGTAAATTGTGAATATGAAAAAAAGAAACTTTTAAGCTAGAACATAAAGTATGGAAGAGAAATTTAAATGGCAAAAAACTTACAAAAAATAAATATACTTAAGTATAGCCTATAAAGACTATAAATCTCAGAAAGCAACAATCACACACCCTGTCCCCAACTTCATAAACACTAAAAAACGGAGTTATCAAGGGAGAAGGCATGGTGTAAAGCTAGGTGTAAAAAAACACTCACTCTCTCTAAACAGCAGATGGAAAAAGAGGGTAATCAAAGAAATTAAATAAGTAGGAAGATGGGAAAGGCACTCGAGCCCAGAATAAACAAGCACAAATAAACAGAGCTTCAGACAGCCTCATCAGCAAATGAGTAGTTAGTCTTCTTTAATAAAGTAACATGAGTAATTCAGGTCAGAATAAAGTCATTAACCTTATCCAAAAATAACTTCCACCTGCAGAGAATAGCTACTGACTAAAAGAGATTGAACCTCTTTATAGACACAGACAACCTGGAAGCAAGAGCTCTTCTGGATAGCAACTAGAAAACTAGGACACTTATACAATGTGATACAAAAATCAGGCCTATTACAACTCTTTAACAATCAGATGTCTAACTTATGCCCTCCAACAAATAGTTCAAAGCAATCCAGGAACTGTTATTTGGCATATGGAAGCCTACCTGATGGTGGTGAGGAGAGGAATCTGGGAAGAAATACAGCTGCTGTCAAAGACTCTGCAAAATAACATGAACCAGATAGATTTTTATTACTTCTGGAAATTTTCCTGAAATAGCATCAGTGTATTTAACAAGACATTCATTGGTTTGTTGTATTAACTATAATTATTTTAAAATATATATATATCATATTCTAACCTCAGCAGATATACTGAACTAAAAGAATATTATAAAATTATAAGGAATATTATAAAATCCAGTATTTATGGATTTATGTGGAGATATTTAAACTAATACTCCAAACTTAAAATGAACATTCTAAAGTGATAATCTGGACTCAAACTATATTTGGATTCACAATGAGACATACACAGGGATGTGATTTGAAAATTCAAATTCCCTTAAAGTATACACATGTATCAAGAGCAATTTCCCTACAAAACTCATCAGTTGAGGGCCTGATATTATCATTTCCAGGTGCTGAAGGGCCAGCACCCAAAGAGTCCAGAAGCCTCCACTAAGTACTGTGCCAGAAGGAAACCAAACACATCACTACCATCTCCCCTTTTCATTTTGCTTAACTATTACAATGTACTTACTCCACACTAGAGCTTCTTGCCTAGATTACTAGAAAGCCAAATCATTAATGGTTAATGTAACAAAAGTAAACTTGTCAGTGTAAATGAACAAGAATGGGACAATAGGTAGCTCAAAACTAAAGAAACTGCACTGTGGAAATAGGACACAGGGGTGCCATTCCCTAGTGACTCTCTTACTTCATCTCTTGGTAATGCTCACATACTGTGCTAGAAACTAACTGGGCACCTGTCACACATTGCAGACCATGCTTTTCCTAATGGGTGCCATTCCATAAACTTCCAACCAGAAATAAAGTGCCATATCTGAGCCTGACTCATGGTATATATTCAACAGATATTTGCTGAAAGACTTTTCTACTTTGGTTCAACTGATTTTAAAATCAATTTTTAGGAAGTAGCTTTAGAAAATACCAAAGCCAAAACCCTAGAACCATATCCACAAGTTTGTAAATAAGCCAAATTTTTGCTATGTTTTCTGCCTGCCCATGGTCTGGGACTATACAATTTCCATTCAACAATTCACCTGTAATGTAGAACCTATGCCACAAAGTAAGAGCTTCTCCCTATGCTAAAATTATCTCCTTTCCAAGAGGACACACAACCTGGTTTCATTGGGATTTGAGGGCTGCTTCAGTGTTGAAAAGAAAGCTTGACCATCAATTCCCCAGGGTAGCTATAGACCTTTTCCAATCTCAAGGAAATCTCCTAGACCCCAAAACTGCTGTGAAACCATTAAGTATATGGTTTCTGTGAACCTCAATATGGCCACAAAATAGTAACCCTAGCGATTAAATAGGAACAACAGTAAATTAAGTGTCTCCTTTACCAACACAATAGCTACAGACTCTTCAGATTCCTTAAACCCATATTTCTGCCTTCTGAATTTACCTCAGCTTACAATCAGCACATGTGGTCACTATTCTGTTACCAGTAACAGGTGAAAAATAGGCAGAAGCAATGCTCTTCGTGTGTTCAGTCAAAGAAATCAAAGGCTGGCTTCCCCTGAGTTTCAGGTGCCTGACGTCATAAATATGAATATCCCTGTAATGAGAGGAAGAATTATTAGTGTTGCCAGAGTACATGTAATGAGCCTCTAGAACAGGGTTAAACATAAGTTAGAAACTCAAATACTTGCTACATGGAATAACATTTAAGACATAACCCCTAATTCGGTTTTAATTTTAAAGTTATTGATACAGATGAAAAGTAAAATATTAGAAAAATTCAAAAATTAGAGCAGATACCTATAACCTGCATGTACAGAATTGGTTTTTCAATCTCTCCAAGAAAAAAGGCAACACAGATTTTTTAATCTCTCCAAGAAAAAAGCCAAGTTACAGATCACATACAATTTTATTTTATTTTTGTTTGTTTTAGTGCCAGAGATTGACCTCAGGGACACTTCACCACTGAGCCACATCCCCAGCCCTTTTTTGGATCTTATTTAGAGACAGGGTCTCCCTGAGTTGCTTAGCGCCTCACTAAGTTGCTGAGGCTGGCTTTGAATTCACGATTCTCCTGCCTCAGCCTCTTGGGATTACAGGCATATGCCATCATGCGCAGGTTATAAAAATTTTCTTCTCATAAAACTAGAAGTAAATGCATATGCATATGGTGCCAATGAAAACAAAAATGTATATTTCTTTCAATATTTTCACTATTTATTAAATCCAAATGAATTTCTCATTTAAAAAAAAAAAAATCTCACTCAAGAAAAGCCCCCATTAGTGAAGAAAGGAAAATTATTTGGCCTTTGTGTATCACAAAAGTCAGATGTGTTTGACAACCAAACTAAACCATGTATTCATGGCATGAAAAGGACTAAATCTGGGCTGGGGTTGTGGCTCAGCGGCACAGCGCTCATCTAGCATGTGCAAGGCCCTGGGTTCGATCCTCAGCGCCACATAAAAATAAATAAATAAAATAAAGGCATTATATCCAATTGCAGCTAAAAAATAAATATTAAAAAAAAAGGACTAAATCATTACATTTTCAGAAGAACATACCTCAACCCTGCAGTCATGAAATACTGTCTGTGCACTGGGTGGACATGAACAGTTCTTATTTTTCTCAAAGAAGAACGAATTAGTTTCTCAAAAGAAGTTCCAGGTGTCCGTCTATCCACCAGTGACATATTTCCATCCCAGTGTCCCACTAGTAAAGTAGAAGCATCTTCTGTCAAGAAGTCAAAGGAGGAAAAGCCACTTCTTTCATTTCTATATACCTAAAGATATAAATAATAATCACTTCTACAACACTCTTAAAATCAATGCACAAATTCTTAGTAAAAGATTATAAGACAGTTTACTCAAATAACCTCATTTATCTACACAGGAAGCTCAGGACAAAATGGAAACAAAGGTGGTGATCAACTCAGAGGCTCACCTACAATCAAATGGTTCATCTACCCATATCCTAAATCTCTTAAACCCAATAAATCTTAGTTCCTGATCTACCCTGTGAAATTTACCGGAAAATGACTAAATATGAATTCTATCCAGCTGAAATTAAATCTCAATATAACAAGTAACTTTGCCAACAAAGTCCAAGATATGTGGTAGCATATTCATCAGATTAAAATTCTTGCCAGTTAATCAGGCTATGGATCGCAAGTTCTAGATCAGCTGCAGCAACTTAGTGAGACCCTGTCTCATAATAAAAATAAAATAAAGAAGCGCTGGGGATGTAGCTTGGTGGTAAAATGGCCCTAGGTTCAATCCCCAATACAAAACATAAATGAATGATGAAACCTACATCTAAAATTATCCTAAAGTTCATGAAGATTCAAATCCAAATTTTAAAAGTTCAAATTGTAAGAATTCTCTTACTGAGGATATCTGGCATGGTTAAACAAATCTGAAAATTCATCTTAAATAATATTATTAAATGGATATTTAAGTAGTAGACCAAAATATGAACAATGAGATCCAAATATTTTGTTCAGGCCTTGGGAGTTTCAGACCTGTCACACCAGAAGTCAAATAGATTAGAAAATCTCCAAGCAGTAGTCTGATAATCTAGGCTGTGTCTGAGGGAGGATTCATGAGTATCATTCAACTTAAATTTTTTTTTTTTTTAAAAAGAGAGTGAGAGAGGGAGAGAGCAAGAGAGAGAGAGAATTTTTTTAATATTTATTTTTTAGTTCTCGGCGGACACAACATCTTTGTTTGTATGTGGTGCTGAGGATCGAACCCGGGCCGCACACATGCCAGGCGAGCGCGCTACCGCTTGAGCCATATCCCCAGCCCTCAACTTAAATTTAAGCAGACTTAAACTTTAATCTGACTAGCACAGTTTAAACCAGCTCAGGAAAAAGACTTACCAAGAGGTAATTACAAATAAACTTGGCCCAAGGTATTCTGAATAAAAACCCCTTGGGTCTCTGCTTCCTGCACAGTATAGCCAATAGCAATTTTCAATTCTAACCTCACCAGATCAGAACAGCTGGGCTAAATGCTTCATCATCATATTAGAACACACAAGACCTGTTAAATCTGGGCTGAGGATGTGGCTCAGTGTTAGAATACCTGACTAGCATGCCCTGGATTCAATCCCCAGCACCAAAAAAAGAAAGAGTCATGTTAAATCTTAGCTAGAAGGTTAGGAAAAATCAAATTTTTAGGCCAGACACAGTGGCACACTTCTCTAAACCCAGCTAACTAAGAAGCTGAGGCAGGAAGATTCCAAGTACGAGGACAGCTTGAGCAATTTAGCAAGACCCTGTCTCAAAATTTTAAAAGGGACTGGGGATATAGTTTAGTGGTAGAGCACTCCATGGTTCAATCCCCAGCATCACAAAAATAAATTAAAAAATACATTTTATAATTTCTGTATTATATTACACACCAGAAATTTTAGATATGCATAATATATTACCATTATGTGGGTAATTTTTCTATTGTCCTTTTTGTCAGGTATAAGACTCATTCCTACAAAATTCATGTCTGAAGGGCAGGATGGATAAACAAAAGAAAAATATTCCAGTGTTTTCCCTCAAAATTAAGAAGTTATTTTACTTAAAATTCTTTCTGCAAATAATAACAGTGAATATGAATAGTCAGGTGTGGTAGTATATACTTGTAGTCCCAGCTACTCAGGAGGCTAAGGCAGGAGGATGGTATGAGCCCAGAAGTCTGGGGCCAGCCTGGGCAATAGAGTATAATCCTGACTCTTAAAAAATAAAAAAAAGGGGCTGGGGATGTGGCTCAAGCGGTAGCGCGCTCGCCTGGCATGCATGCGGCCCAGGTTCGATCCTCAGCACCACATACAAAGATGTTGTGCCCGCCGATAACTAAAAGAAAATAAATATTAAAAAATTCTCTCTTTAAAAAAAAAAAATTAAAAAAAATTTTAAAAATAAAAGCAAACACTATGTGCCAGTCTTGGTCCTAAATACTTTATCTGTATTCACTCCTTTAATCCTTTTGACAACCCTATAAAGTAGACACTATGACTATACCATTCCACAACTATGGAAATTGAGACACAAATAATATCACACAACTAGTAATAGATGGTCTGAGTCTTGAACTTAGTCCTTAGGCTGTACTACTTTTCAGTCTGATATAAAAATCACTCATGTGGCCGGGCACAATGGTACATGCCAACGACTAAGGAGACTGAGACAAGAGGATCACAATTTCAAAGCCAGCCTCGGCAAGTGCAAAGCAACTCAGTGAGACCCTGTCTCTAAAGGAAATACAAAATAGGGCTGGGGATATGGTTCAGTGGTCGAGTGCCTATGAGTTCAATCCTCAGTACAAAAAAAAAAAAAAAAGCACTCATATAGCATTTCATGGAGAATCCAGAATATCATTGGATGTCAACATATAAACAAATTAACATTTACCTCTTCAAAAATAGCTCTGGAAAAATCCCCACATCGTAATGTGCCATCATAGCTCAGTGACAGTAGGTGGGCTGGATTGGCAGGTGAGAAGTAAAGACAGCTAACAGGTTGACTATGGGGATAAAAAACATATGCTCCATCTTCTTTTCTTTGCTGGGTCTGGAAGAGGTGGAAGTTGAAAAAGAGATTAAAAACTAGTGAAAAGTACATATTTACTATGTTATTATGTAATTAAAGTATTTACATCTGGATTATATTGTCTTTTTTAAGTCTATAACAGCATCCACTCTCCCATTCAAATAGTCAGAATTAGGAAATGACATTAAATTATTTTCTTTTATCATTTTCTGATAGTTTTAATTTTCTTACAATTTCATTTTCTTCTTATAATTTTCAAATCAACAATACCAAATCACATTAATTTTAAGTGTCCAGCTTTTCACAAATAGCAAACTAGTTTCTTTACAATAGTGGGGGCAGCGCGGGGCGGGGGGCAGGGTGGACAACACAGACAAATAGCACGCAGATCACTGCTTCTGCCAGGCATGGTCACATGAACCTGTAGCCTTAGCACTCAGGAGGCTTAAGCAAGGGGATCACTTGAGCCCAGGAGTTAAGAAACCAGCCTGGGCAAGATTGTTTCAAAAATTAACTTTTTAACTACCTTTTTTTTTTTTTTAATATTTATTTTTTAGTTTTTGGCGGACACACTTGTTTGTATGTGGTGCTGAGGATCGAACCCGGGCCGCAAGCATGCCAGGTGAGCGCGCTACCGCTTGAGCCACATCCCCAGCCCTTAACTACCTTTTTTTAATTAATTTTTTTATTTATATATGACAGCAAAATGCATTAAAATTTATATTACACATAAAAAGCACAATTTTTCATATCTGGTTGTATACAAAGTAAATTCACACCAATTCATGTTTTCATACATGTACTTTGGACATCATATTCCACCATCACTTTTAACCCCATGCCCCCTCCCACCCCTTTGCCCTATCTAAAGTTCATCTATTCCTCCCATGCTCCCCCCTCCCTACCCATGAATCAGCTGGGTCAAATGGTGGTTCCATTCTCAATTTTCCAAGAAATCTCCATACTGCTTTCTATATGGGCTGCACCAGTTTGCAGTCCCACCAGCAGTGTATGAGCATACCTTTTTCCTCACATACTCGCCAGAACATCCAAGAATTATGGGACAGCATCAAAAGTTAATTTTTAAGCATCTCAGAAGGCTAAGACAGGAGGGTTATAAGTTCAAAGCGACCCTCAGCAAAAAGCGATGTGCTAAGCAACTCAGTGAGACCCTCTAAACAAAATGCAAAATAGGGCTGGAGATGTGGCTCAGTGGTTGAGTGCCCAAGTTCAATACCTGGTATCCACGCCCCCCAAAAAAATGTTTTTAAATCTTACTTATTATGACTTCACAAGATGAAATCCCCAGGAAATTAGAAATATACTCTTTATTTCACATATGACATTAATTCATTACTATAGTATATCAATATCATTAACACTTTGCTTTCTAAGTAGGCTTATAATATTAACATTATTCTCAGTATAATTTTTTTTTTAAACATGGGGTCTCATTATGTTGCCCAGGCTGGCCTCCAACTTTTCATAAGGTATTTGGTCCTGGCAGAAAAATTATAGTTTTAAAAGTATTTTGTCTACTAAATGCACAATGAAAATTCACACATTTGAATTTCCATATTAATATTACTACATCTAAGGATTAGCCTTTATTCAATTGGATTACTAACTCCTAAGAAGTCATTTTTCAGATTTGGGTTCCTATACCATATAGCATATTATAAACCAGAGCAATGATTATTTCCAAATCTGGCTTAGTCTGCTCTGAAATAGTCAATTTTGGTTTTTTTTTTTATTTTTTAGAAAATATTATTTTTAATATTTATTTTTAGTAGTGTAGTTGGACATAATACCTTTATTTTATTTATTTATTTTTATGTGGTGCTGAGGATCAAACCTAGGTTCTTGCACATGCTAGGCGAGTGCTCTACCTCTGAGCCACAACCCCAGCCCTTGGTTTTTATTTTAAATTTTAAAATTAAGAAAAAAAATCTTTTTTTTTTTTTTTTTACAAGGAAAAGAGAAAGAAAAGGAAAAAAATTACAAACACACACATTCTCCTATGAAAAGTTAACAACTGTTGACATCTTGGCATAATGTTTATAACATTTATTTTCTAGAAAAACAGAACTATCTATTGTTATAAAGAACTAAAATGGGGTAGGCATGGTGGCACACATCTGTAACCCCAGCACCTTGGGAGGCTGAGACAAGAAAATCACAGGTTCAAAGCCAGCCTCAGCAACTTAGCAAGGCCATAAGCAACCTAGTGAGACCCTATCTCAAAATGAAACAAAAAAAAAAAAGGATTGGGTATGGAGCTCAGCAGTTAAAGCACCCTGGTTTAATCCCCAATACAAAAAAAAAAGAAAATATAGAAATGTACAAAGACGAAAATTCAAAAAAAAAAAACACTACAAATCCAAAATATCAAGATTTAAAAAAAAATATTGAGTGAGGATTACAAATATCTTTATACAGAGGTTGGGGATTTGAGGTATCCCCCAAAAGCTCATGTGTGCAGCAATGCAAGAATATTTAGAGGTAAAAGGACTGGGTAATCGGAGCCTTGACCTAATAAGTGTGTGACAGGGATTAACCTAGTGGTGATGGTAAACAGGGAATGTGTGGCTAGAGGTGTTGGGTCCTTGGGGTAAACCTTAGGGGTTTCAAATTTTATCCCTGGAAAGTAGAGTCTCTCTCCACTTCCTGGTGCCATGTCCCCAGCTGCTTTCCTCTGATATAGCCTTCTGCTATGATGTTTGCCTCATCTTGGGCCCAGAAGAATGGAGTAGACCACATGCAGACTGAAACCTCTAAAACCTTGAGTCTCAAAATCCTCTATATTCTTGTCAAGTCTTTTGGTCACACAGCAAAATAGTTAACTAAAACACCTGGCATGAGTTGAGACCCTGGGTTCAATCCCCAGTACCCACCCCACCCCCCAAAAAAGAAAAACAATACAGAAATGCACAAAGATGAAAATTTTTAAAAATCATTACAAATCCATTACAAGTCTTGATTTTTTTATCAAGAAAATATTGTGGGCTCGGGCTGTGGCTCAGTGGTAAAGTGCTTGCCTAGCATATGTGAGGTACTGGGTTCTATCCTCAGGACCACATAAAAATACATAAAATAAAGGTATCACCTACAACTAAAAAAAAACAATTAAAGAAAATATTGAGTGAGAGTTACAGATTTCTTTATACAGTCCTATGCAGACAGCATGACAGAGACAATGAAGAAACTTCGGAAAAACAGGACCATGCTGTACATGCCATTTTTTCATAGTATTGAATTCAACTATACTTCAAAATAACAAAAGAAAATGAAGCTAAGGAAATTTCTGAACTTCAGATAATTCTTCACAAGATATATTGTCTCCTATAAAGGAAAAAATGTAAAACATAAAGCAGCTATAGTCATTACACTTTTTATTTATTCTATTTTTTTTTTTTTTGGAGTGGGAGGGGTTACGGGGATTAAACCCAGGGATGCTTAACCATTGAGCTACATTCCCAGCCCTTTTTTGTATTTGATTTAGAGACAGGGTCTTGCTGAGTTGCTTAGTGCCTCACTAAGTTGCTGAGGCTGGCTTTGAACTTGAGATCCTCCTGCCTCAGTTTCCCAAGCCGCTGGGATTAACAGGCATGCATCACTGTGCCTGGCTGGTTTTGATCCTTATGCTTAAACTAAAAAAAAAAAAAAGAATTTAGGAATAGAAAACCTTAGGGAAAAAATTGATAATGAACATTCAATTCACTTAAATGCTGAACTATTATTAAATGTTAAACAGCCATAGGAATTATGGTTGTAGAACTCAGTATAAATGTTATCAGAGTAGATAAAAATAATATAATAAAATATGGGAATGTAGAAAGGGTGGTTAGAGAAAGACAGAGAATAATGTTCTTAACCAACAGAAATTAGCTAAAAGTGAGAGATTAAAAAATAAAAAGTGTGCCAGGCACAGTGGCGAATGCCTGTTAATCCCAGCAGCTCTAGAGGATGAGGCAGGAAGATCGTGAGTTCAAAGCCAGTCTTAGCAATTTAGTGAGGCACTAAGCAATTCAGTGAGACCCTGAAAAAAAGAGAGAGATCAAAACCAGGGCCTTAATATGTGCTAGGCAAGCAGAATACCACTGAGCTACATCCCCGATCTCATTACTAAATTCTTAATCTTGATTTACTATTTTTTTTTTTTTCATTTTTTAGCAGTACTAGAATTGAACCCAAGGCCTTATGCATGCTAGTCAAGTGCTCTACCATTGAGCTACAACCCCAGCCCATTTTATTTTGAGACAGAGTCTAAGTTACCTCGCCTGGCCTCAAATTTTTGACTCTCCTGCCTTAGCCTCCCAAGTGGTAGGGTTGATTTGGCCAGAATTTGCTGCCAAACATTTTTCCAGAGAAACTCATGAGTCTTGAATTTTTTCACATATTTCTTTAGGTTGTTGTTTTTTATTTTATTTATTTTTTTATCTACCTTCTGCCATTACACAAAAACAATTTCTTTAGCTGGATAAGTATTCCAGGGCCATATGTCTTTCTCTCAGAACTTTATAATATTGTATAGAAAACTGAGACAAGCCAGGCTCTTCATACTGAATTTGTTTTTTTGTTTGTTTGTTTTGTTTTGTCTTAGTTACACGTGGGCACAATATCTTTATTTATTTATTTTTTATTTTGCTGAGGATCAAACCCTGTGCATCACATGTGCGAGGCAAGCACGCTACAAATGAGCCACAACCCCAGCCCCTTGAAATTTTTTTTTTTTTTACCTGAAGATTTCTTTATCCATTAAGTTACAATTTCTCTAGAACACGGGATCACCTTCAGCTGCCATTCAATTCTATCTTCATTTCAGGAAAAGTTCTTTTTCAATACACTCAGTTTCATTTGTTGGGTCATCTTTGACTGTCTTTCTATTGGCTTCTCTAAGCCTTTTTCATCTGTGGTTGAGTATCACAAATCCTTCCTATAATGTCTCCAATTTGATTTTCTGTAATAGCTATTCTGTTCCTTGCTCTCACCTAATATTAGTTTCATTAATCTTCAATCTGTTTCCTTTGTTTTACAATCTTCTTTTTCATCTCATTCTGTTAATTTTATCATCTTGCCTTTCAGCTTTATTTTTGCTAAATTAATGTTCTTACTAATTTGTTCCAAAGAAGTGCTGGTCAAAAGAACTTTCTAAGGTGACCAAAATGATGTGGCTATGTGCCTGAGAACTGAACTTTCAATTTTAATTAGTTTCTCAAAATAAGAAAAATTAAAAGGGCTGGGGATGTAGCTCAGTGGTAAAACACCTCTGGGTTCAATTTCCAGTACCAAAATTATAAAAAAAACCCAGAAATTTATTTCTCAAGTCTGATGATTTGGCAATCCAAAATCCAGGTTCTGGATCATTTGGTTATCTACCAAAGGCCTACTTTCTGGTTTCTGGATGGTCCCTTTTAGCTCTGTCCCTGTGGAAGATGAAAGGGGTCTCTACTGGGTTTCTTTTATAAGGGCAATAATCCCATGCATGACCTACTCACCTCCCAAGGCCCCACACCTCCTAATATCATCACTTTGGGGATTAGGAAGTCATCATATGAATTTAAAGGGGGATACAACATTTAGATCACAGTAGATCATATTTTAAACGTAATTTAAAAACTATGAATTTTATGTGACTTTTTCACATATACATTTAAAGCCTCCTGGCAGTTAATTTATGCCCAGATGGCTAATGATATTCAAGCTAAAAATGTTAAAGTTCTATAAAAACAAATTTAATTCCTCTAGATTTCTAAAATTTAGAATCATAAAGCAATTCTATCTCAAATTATAGGTATAAATGAATGTCTCTCAGCTAGTCTTCTTAAGACTATTTGCTTCAGTCAAACTTGAATACCTTAAAAAAAAAAAAAGAAAGAAAGTAATAAGAACTTACCAAATCCCAAAGTCCAATTTGCCCACTTTTGGCCCCAGCTGCTACCAAAGTTCTAGTTTCTGATGGGTGGAGAGCCACAGAGAATATTGAGCCATTGGTAACTTTATGAACAGCATCTTCACTAATAACCATTCCATTTAAATTGGCTTTGTAGCTACAAAATTAAAATGTTACATTTTAAAAGTAAAACCAATCTCAATAGTCAAAATAAGTAAAAGATGATTCAAAAAAGAAAGTCATAGTAAATAAATGTTGGAAAATATTCAACCTCCTGATTAACTGAGGAAATAAAATAGTGAGGTACCATTTTTGAATTATAAAATTACCTTTAATAATTTTAATGATGATATCAAAAACCAGGAGGCCACAGATAAACATACATACTCAGGCTAGGGCTGTAGGCTCAGTGATAGAGCACTGCCCCACACATGAGGGTCAGGATTTGATCCCAGCACTGAAAATTTTTAAAAATATAAACACACACACACTCACATGTATTGCTAGTTTTAGAGTGAGTTCATATAAGATTTTCAGGAGGGGGAAAAAAGATTTTTGGAAAATGATTTAATAGTGTGTACTAAAAGCTATTAAAAAAATTCCACAATATCTGACTCATTAGACCCACTTCCAGAAATCTATTCTGAGAAAGTAATCCACTGTCATAGAAACACTTCAACAAATATTATACAATTACACAAAACTAAATGGAAAATAACCCCCAATACTAAATAGGCAGAAGGAGGTTAAGTAAAAATTTCACCTACTCAATGAATTATTATGCAATTATTTAATAATTTTAAAGACTCGGGCTGGGGATGTGGCTCAAGCGGTAGTGCGCTCGCCTGGCATGCGTGCTGCCCGGGTTCGATCCTCAGCACCACATACAAAGATGTTGTGTCCGCCGAGAACTAAAAAATAAATATTAAAAAATTCTCTCTCTCTCTCTCTCTCTCTCTCTCTCTCTCCCCCCCCCTCTCTCTCTCCCACTCTCTCTTTAAAAAAAATAATAATAATTTTAAAGACTCTATTAACATATAACCACAAATGAAAAAGCCTAATGCAAAATTGTATATACTTTAGAATACATTGTTGTAAAAACGTGAATTCACTCATTTTCTTCAACACTGAATAAATATATACTATGTGCCAGGGTGTTCTAGTTATTGAGACAAAATCCCTGCCTTCGTAAAGCTTATATTCTATTTGTATTACATATGATAACACCTGAAAGGAAATATACAAAAACAAAAACAACAGTTATTGTAGAGTAGAAATACAGGGGATATTTTATCACCTCATGTTCAAAATTCCTATAATATTATATAGCTTTTGTAGCTCAAATGTCTCAAAAAAAATATAAAACAAAGGCAAGGAATTTTAATTTACCTTTTAATGCTGAACAGCCCCTTTTCAGTGTTCTTACGACTTGTCTGAAACATGAATAGAAACCAAAGTGCTGTTAATATACATGGAAATTTCCTTAACAGATGATACTAAAAGCTATAAGCTCTGCCAAGTTATACCTTGTTCATTTCACCCCATGTCTGCAGAAATTCTTTAAATAGTTCATTGTTGTCATCTTGATTTTCAGGAATCATTTCTAAAGGCCCAGGAGGTAACAAAGGCTGTAATCAAAAATAAAAAGTTTATTGTTTGTCCCCTTGCCCTAGAATTACACATTCAAAAAGGCAAAGGGTATTTGTCTGTTTTTTCACTACTTTACTGTCGACACCAACAACAGTGATAGCACATCACAGTTATTCAAAAATAATTATTCAATAAATGAATGCCAACAAAAAACAACAGATGCTGGCAAGGATGTAGAGAAAGGAACTCTCATTCCCTGTTGGTATGAATGCAAATTAATGCCACCATTATGAAAAACCATATGGTGGTTCCTCAGGAAACTAGAAATAGAATTAACATATGATCCAACAATCCCACTACTGGCTATATATTCAAAAAAATAAAATCAGTATGTTAAGGAGATATATTCTTTGTAACATTATTCACAATTGTCAAGATATAAAATCAAACTAAATGTCCATTAAAAAATGAATAAAGAAAATGTTATTTATACACCATGGAAAACTATTCAGAAAAATTTTTAGTTGCAGCAACATGTATGAAACTGGAGGACATTATGTTAAGTAAAATAAATCAGAAAGACAAATACTGCACATTTTCACTACACATGGAATCTAAAGTTGATTCTAAAGAAGTAAAAACCAGAATAGTGTTACCGGAGCCTGGGAACAGTGTGGAGGAAGAAGGGATGGAAAGAGGGTTAATGGGTACAGGGATGCAGATGGATCAGAGGATTAACACCTAATGTTCTATAGAACAGGAGGACAACTATGCTTAACAACAATTAATTTACTATTTGAAAATAATAGAGATGTTTAATGTTCCCCAAACAAATATATGTCTGAGATGACAGATACATCACTTTATTCTGATCATTACACATTATATACATGTAATGCAACGCCACACTGTACCCCATAGATACGTACAATAACTATGTGTCCGTTAAAATACATATAAATAGGGGCTGGGGCTCAGTGGTAGCATGCTTGTCTGGCATGTGTGAGGCACCAAGTTCAATTCTCAGTACCACATATAAATAAATAAAATAAAGGTCTATCAACAACTTATAAAAAATTTTTTTAAATATATATATAAATAAAAAATAAATGAATGAATGCCAGGTCTCCTATCTTATTTAACCCTCTTGACGATTCATTCAATGATACCACTTTTTAAAGACACCATAATTCAGAGAAGTTATTTGACCAAGTTATATTGCCAATAACTGGAAGAGCTAGGAAGAACTCCTATTAGTTCAGTTCAGTACTCAGTGCTATTATTCTATGCCAATGTTTTAGAAAATACAAGTTGAAATCAAATAATAGGCTATGAAATCATTTTAATTTGTCAAAAACAGCAACTACAGTGAATGAGAATAGAATAAAAAATACCAAAATGCATACAAATAGTAAAGTTGTCATTTCACAAAACTATTGTTTCAGAAGAATGTGTGTTTGTGTGTGTGTGTGTGCGTGCGTGTGTATGTGTATGTGTTTGCAGTAGTAAAGATTGAACCCAGGGTCTTATACATGCTAAGCAAGCTAACTACCACTGAGCCACATCCCCAGTCCATAAATGTTTCTTATCATGGGTTAGTGCTTCAATAAAATTTGGAAGCTATTCTACTATGCTGCTTTCCATATCACCTTGATTTGCAATTAGCTCCCAAGGCACCAACCTAATTAGTACTATCTTCCAATTTATAATTAAGAACTTAGATATAAAACATTAAAAACAGTAGGTGCTCATGAATTAAAAGTATAAATACAAATCTTATTTACAGAACAAATTTAATAAATTAAAATGTTTCCACTCACTGGTAGTATAAAATTAAGCTATAGCAAGGGAACTTCACTTATATCACATACTACTTATTAATAACATTAATAATTACTTTTTATTATTTATTAAGCTCTTAATACAATGTAAGGAACTTTACAGATACTATTTCATTTAATCCTCATGATAGCCCTTGAAAACTTCTATTACTGCCATTTTTAAAATGGAGAAACTGAGGCTCAGAAAGGTTAAATAATTTATAATAATTTACCTACAATCCCATGATAGGTAAGTCCTGCAGAAATACAGAACAATCCAGTCTTTATAACTTTGAAATCTTACTCATTAAATGATATAACATTCAAGTACTATTAATGAAATGTAAATAACTCATCATTTTCAGGGCTGGGGTTGTGGCTCAGAGGTAGAGTGCTCACCTACCATGCGTGAGGCACTGGGTTCGATCCTCAGCACCACATAAAAATAAAAATAAAGATATTGTGTCCACCTACAACTAAAAAATAAATATTTTTTAAAAATATAAAATAAAGGGGCTGGGGATGTGGCTCAAGCGGTAACGTGCTCGCCTGGCATGGGTGCGGCCCAGGTTCGATCGCCAGCACCACCTACAAACAAAGATGTTGTGTCCGCCGAAAACTAAATAAATATTAAAAAAATTCTCTCTAAAAAAAATTAAAAATAAAAATAACTCATCATTTTCAAAACATTCTGTTTCAAACACTTTAAACTTTCATATTATATATTGTATTTGCACTCTTTCTTACATTTTCATCTTCTTCTAATGTCGGCTGTGTTGGAGTTGCTGGTAATGAAACTCCTGAAGGATCCACTTTTAGCAATCGCATTGACCTTCTACATCCAATCTCATTTTCTCTCTTCTTAGGCTTCTTTCTAAAGGAGTGGGAAGAAATTCTTGTTATACTCATAAAACAATAAAATGCATTTACTGATATTAAAGAGAGAACTTCTAGGAATGGGTCCCACAGATGAGTGTGTGTATAAATATATAAAGATATATAGATATATACATCTCCACGGTGATTTTAATAAAAAATCTGATTTTAATAAAAAAGCTACTCCCCAGTCATTTTTACTTTTTTATTTTGAGACTGAACTAACCTAAATTTCTGCATGAAGAAGTGAAGGACATAAAATATTTTATGGTGTATATATCTAGAATGATATGCAACTATAGAAAAGAATGAAATATTGGCTGGGGCTACAGCTTAAAGGTAGAGCACTTGCCTAGTAGCATGCTCGTGGCCCTGGGTTCAATCCTCAGTACTAGAGAAAGAATGAAACAGATCCTTGGGTGCTAATAAAATGAACTCTTAAGTTGTAAGATGTAAAAATGAGGCCCAGTACATGTTTACAAAAAGGTTACACATATATTTGTACATGATGAGGCTACCCATAAAGGAATATATATGAAACTATTAACTGTGGTATCTTCTAGAAAGAAAGCCTGGAAAACTAAGGATGGGAGGAAGAGTTAAATGTTTCATTGCATTTTCCTTCAAACAGTTTATTTTTTGACTCATACACATCCCCTACTTCTTTTGGAGGTATTGAACCTAGGGGCACTGTTTCTTTTGTTTTGTTTTGTTTTATTTTTTATTTATTTACTTATTTATTTTTTAGTTGTAGATGGACACAATACTTCTATTTTATTTGTTTATTTTTATGTGGTGCCAGGGATCAAACCCAGTGCTTCACGCATGCTAGGCAAGCACTCTACCACTGAGCCACAACTCCGGCTCTTTTATTTATTTATTCATTTTTAACTAGGTCACAAAAGTGTTTATTTGTTCTCTTTAGATATACATGACAGTAGGGTATATTTTAACATATAATATATACATAGAATACATCTTACTATAATTAGGATTCCATTCTTCTTGTTGTATATAATGTGGAGATTCACTGTGATGTATTCATATATGAACATAGCAAAATTATGTTTGAAAGGGCTGAACTATCAATGGGACATCTAGGAAGATATCAAATATTGGGAAATTAAGTCTGTGTAAGGTCTGAAGATAGTGTCTTTGGTAACTGTTTGTGTGTTCTTGTCCCAAGGGACACTGTTAATACTAAACTACTGCCCAGTCTTTTTTACTTTCTTTTTTTTTTAATATTTATTTTTTAGTTTTCAGCGGACACAACATCTTTGTTTGTATGTGGTGCTGAGGATCGAACCCGGGCCGCACACATGCCAGGCGAGCGCTCTACCGCTTGAGCCATATCCCCAGCCCCCTTTTTAACTTTTTTATTTTGAGACTAGACTTAAATTGCCCAGACTGGCCTTGAACTTGCAAGCCTCCTGCCTCAGCCTCCTGCATCACTAGGATTACAGATATGAGTGACCAAGCCCACTTTTCCCCTACTTTTTTATGTATCAATTTTTCATTTAAATTTTTTTTTCTTTTTCCAGTGCTGGGGATTAACTTTAGAGTTTCACACATGCACTCTACCCACTGAACTATATTCTGGGGACTCCTTTTTTTTTTTTTTAAAGCAATTCATTAAAAAATATTTGTGGGGCTGGGATTATGGCTCAGCGGTAGAGCACTTACTCGCACATTTGAGGCACTGGGTTTAATCCTCAGCACCACATAAAAATAAATAAATAAACAAGGGTATTTTTAAAAAGAGAGATAATACATTAAAAATATATTTGGGAAAGAGAAGATTTCCTGTTTCCAATAATTCATATTTCATCTCTACTAATGCCAGCTATACAAGGTTAGGGGCATAGCACAATGGCAGAACACTTGTCTAGCATACTCAAGTCTATAAGATTTGACCCAACCACTGCAAAAAGAAAAAAAAATTCACATGCAAAATCATTAGCTATAGTCTGGCACAGTGGCACCTGCAATTCTAGCAACTTGTGAGGCTAAGAGAGGAGCATCACAAGTTTGAAGCCGGTCTCAGCAAAATTAGTGACACCCTAAGCAATTAAGCAAGACCCTGTCTCCAAATAAATAAATAAAAAGAACTAGAGCTGTAGCATGGTGGTAAAATGCCCCTGGGTGTTCTAACCCCGAAACAAAAAAAAAAAGAAAAAGAAAAAATTCTCAGTTACAGTTCACATTAGTTCAGAGGAATTAGTAATAATCACTATTTACTGAAAAATACTAAGCCAGGTGTGATGGCACATGCCTGTAATCCTAGCTACTCAGAAACAGAGAAACATGAAGATAGTAAGTTCTAGTCCAGTTTGGACAATTTAGTGAGACCTAGTCTCAAAATTAAAAAAAAATAAAAATAAAAATAAAAATGTCTAGGGGACTAGGGTTGTGGCTCAATGGTAGAGCACTTGCCTAGCACATGTGAGGCACTGGGTTCGATTCTCAGCACCATATAAAAATAAATAAATAAAATAAAGGCATTGTGTCCATCTACAACTAAAAAAAAAATTTTCTAAATGGCTGGGAAGCCGGGCGTGGTGGCGCACAGCTATAATCCCAGTGACTCAGGAGGCTGAGGCAGGTGGCTCAAGAGTTCAAAGCCAGCCTCAGCAACTTAACGATGCACTTAGCAACTCAGTGAGACCCTATCTCTAAATAAAATACAAAAAAGGGCTGGGGATGTGACTCAGTGGTTAAATGTCCCTGGTTTCAATCCCCGGAACCAAAAAAGAAAAAAAAAATGGGGCTGGGGATGTGGCTCAAGCGGTAGCACACTCGCCTGGCATGCGTGCGGCCAGGGTTCGATCCTCAGCACCACATACAAACAAAGATGTTGTGTCCACCAAAAACTAAATACTAAAAAATTCTCTCTCTCTCTCTCTCTCTCTAAAAAAAAAAAAAAAAAAAAAATGGCTGGGAATATAATTCAGTGGTAAAGCACCACTGGGTGCAATCCCCAAAAGGGAAAGAAAAAAGAAAAAGCTAAACCAAGCATTCAGCATTCACTTCCTCATTTAATTTTTGAAAAAAGGATGAATATATGGAATATTTTAGGCTTTCAAATAGCCAGCCCCCTAGAAATATACTCCCAGAGAACTCCACTCTTTGAAAAACTCTCACACATAGCACCAAAGTTTAGAACATCTGGAGTCGGGTCTAGAGGTATATAGCTCAGTGGTAAAGTGCTTGCCTAGCACATGTAGGCCCCTAGTTCAGTCCGTAGCACAGCAAAAAAAAAAAAAAAAATATTCAGAGCACCACTCTTCATAATAATGAAAATCTGGAAATGACTCAACTGCTGTCCATTAACAGTAAAATAAACTATAGCACATTCATACAATGGAATATTCTAAAACAGAAAAATATGCATGAAATAAAACTGTATACACCAACATGAATGTTTTAAAACTAACATGCAAAGGTAAGCAAAACAAGCTGCCCATGGTGGCACATGCCTGTAATCCCAGTGGCTCAGGAGGCTAAGGCAGGAAGATCCTGAGTTCAAAGCCAGCCTCAGCCACTCAGCAAGGCCCTTAGCAATTTAGCAAGTCTCAAAAGAAAAAATAAAAAGGACTAAGGATGTGGCTCAGTGGTTAAATGCCCCTGGGTTCAATCCCTCATACCAAGGGTGGGAAAATAGGCAAAACTATCGAAGCCCTAAGCAACTTAATGAGACCCTATCTCAAAAAAATAAAAAGGACTAGGGATGTGTTCCAGTGGTTAAGCACTGAGTTAAATCACCAGTACCAAAAAGAAAAAAAAAAAAAAGACAAAACAATATATTATTTAAGGATACATTCATAGATAGCAAAATCATAAATGAAAGAATAATTACCAGCATATTTGGGGCTAGGATTATAGTACTGAAAGCAAAACAAAATTATTCAGCATATTAGTTGTATCAGGAGGATCAGAAGTTCGAAGCCAGCCTCAACAACTTAGTGAGGTCCTAAGCAATTTACTGAGACCCAGTCTCAAAATTTAAAAAAGGGGGTTCAATAATAAAGCCCCCCTGGATTCTATCCCCAGTACTGGGGAAAAATATATATATTATAATTTCTATTAACTTAGATGCCAGGTATGTGGTTGAGGGGTTTGTATTACTATAAAGTTTTCAACTATATATATATGTTATATGTACTTCTTTTGTATCTCTTATAAATACATATTTATTTTTTTTATTTAAATCTCCCTGGATTCATATAATGTTAACTTTACAGATCAGGAAAAAATATGTAAATTACCCATGGTTGATACTACAACTCTACATGGCTTAATCAAAACTAGAACCCAGGGGCTGGGGTGTACCCAGCCTAGCATGCATGAAGTCCTGGTTCAATCTAGAGCACGGAAAAAAAGAAGAAAAAAAAATTGAACACAAACTTGTTAAATTTCAAAGGCTGTGCTCTTTCCCTTATTATATAACTTCAACACTACCAACTTGGTAACTTGATACTGTTATCTTGCAATTACTAAGTGTTAGAAATTTGGGTTAGGTAATTTAATAATAAATCACCAATCTTTCCTTATAAAAAAAAATAAATGTAAACAGGGTACTGTGGCACATGCCTATAATCATAGCTACTTGGGAAGCTGAGTCAAGAGGATTACAAATTTGAGGCCAACTAAGACAATTCAGTGACACCCTCTCTCAGCAATAAAGCTGGGTTCATCCCCAGTAGAGGAAAAAAAATAAAATAAAAGCACAAATGTATAGTTACAAGACCAGTGATATTGTTTTTTCAGTATTAACTCCTATGACAACTCTTCACACTTGAAGCCACAGTTCATTAGCATCTAGCACAAAATAAATGAGCTAATGATACCAAAAATTTTAGTTTCCTCATTTATATGTAGGTGCTGCTAAAATGCAAGAGACAATTCGAGCTAAAATAATCCCAGAGTTCAAATCCTAGAGCTACCATTTATAAGCTGTTTTGAACTTGGGCAAATATATCTCTGAGCCTTTTTCTAACTCATAAAATAGATATATTACCTACCACATTTAGAATTAAATGAGATAATACAGGACAAACTTTTAAGGTCACTGTACTATGCTTCATAGACATTCAATAAATGTTAATTCCCTTCCCTTATTCTAGGACTGAAAAGCTAACTGAAAAGCAAAAGGATAGTCAGAAAAATAAAAAGAAAGAATGAGGTAAGCACAGTGAGTGGCACAGCTACTCAGAGGCTGAGGAAAGAGGATCAAAAATTCAAGGCCAGGGCTGGGGGTTGTGGCTCAGCGGTAGAGTGCTCCTGAGCGAGGCACTGGGTTCCATTGATCCTCAGTACTACATAAAAATAAATAAAATAGGGGCTGGGGATGTGGCTCAAGCGGTAGCACGCTCACCTGGCATGCGTGCGGCCCGGGATCGATCCTCAGCACCACATACAAAGATGTTGTGTCCGCCGAAAACTAAAAATAAATATTTAAAAAAATTCTCTCTCTCTTTCCCTCTCTCTCATTCTCTCTTTAAAAAAATGAAAATGTTAAAAAAATAAAAATAAAAAATAAATAAATAAAATTGAACTATTGTGTCCAACTAAAAAAAAAAAATTTGGAAAAAAAAAAGTTCAAAGCCAGCCTTAGCAATTTAGCAGGACTCTGCTCAAAATAAAAAGGGTTGAGAATGTAGCACAGTGGTAGAATACCCTAGGGGTTCAACCCCAGTGGGTTTTTTGTTGTTGTTGTTTTTGAGTTTTTTGGTTTGGTAGTTGTTTTCTGTGGTACTGGGAACACAATCAAGGCAAGAGCCAGCACCCTACCATTGAACTATACCCGCTGGCCCTGAGAAGAATCTTCAAGAATGATTTTTCTGGGGCTGGGGATATAGCTCAGTTGGTAGAGTGCTTGCTTTGCATGCACAGGCCCTGGGTTTGATACCCAGCATCAAAAAAAGAATAATAATTTTCTGGCTAGACATGGTGGTACATGCCTATAATCCTGGTGGCTCAGGAGGCTGAGGCATAAGGATCACGAGTTCAAAGCCAGCCTGAGCAACTTAGCAAGGCCCTAAGTAACTCAGTGAGACCCTGTCTCTAAATAAAACACAAAAAAGGGCTCAGTGGTTGACTGTCCCTGAGTTCAATCCCAAGTACCAAAAAAAAAAGAAAATGATTTTCTAGGGAAAAAGTAGAAATCTTTATTTTGTGGAAATAAAAATATTCCTCCATTCAGAGCAACAGTAAATATAAACAAAATTCAGCTCTGGAGATTCTATTTGCTCTATATTCTCTTGATGAAAATGAGAACTGTAAAGTTATTAAAAGGTAGTATTCCCTCAGAGATTCCCACAGGGATTAATATTAAATTATAGAGTCTCTGATCTGTTACTAAGATTACTATACCACTTTTTCAGATTATAAAACCACAACGAAATATCATGGTCCAGCCACTGTAACCACATCTTTTACCTCTTGGACTTAGGAGGTTGTCTCTTCTTTATCATTTCACGGAGCCTTGCAGCTGACTGAAAGTACACAAAATACATACGCATGTAAAAATGCTATCTTGCAACCACATAGCTTAACTTTTAAAATATTAAAGTCTATTCAGCAAATAAAGATCCTTAAGACAGAATACCTGTTTTCCATGGTAGACATGAGATAAATATACTATCCATAATAAAGGCAAGTAAATAATGCTGCCCAATACACTGATATTCTGATACTTCAGACAAAGTTGCTAATGAGTTAACATGATGAAATGCAAAATTAACTCAAACATACTATTACAAATAACAAGTTTCAACCTCTACTACTGGAAAATTACTTTATATTTTTTTTCCCAGAAAAAATTGTGATATTTTTCTAAATCAAATCCTATTTTGTTAACTAAAATCATAGATTATGTATTTCTTTTTATAAGAAATTCTTTTTTTTTTTAGAGAGAGAGAGAGAGAGAGAATTTTTAATATTTATTGTTTAGTTCTCGGCGGACACAACATCTTTGTTTGTATGTGGTGCTGAGGATCGAACCCAGGCCGCACGCATGCCAGGCGAGCGCGCTACCGCTTGAGCCACATCTCCAGCCCCATAGATTATGTATTTCTGATAAATTTTCAATTGCTGATGATTTAACAATTTAATCCTTCAATTAATCCCCTCACCTACCTGGTGCAAACAACACAGAATATCTGGGAATCTGTTATTCAGAGAAATCAATTACTTATTTTGTAAAGTTAAGGGTTTGATATCTTTGGTGGGGGCAATTATACCCTCCTAAACAGCTATTCTTTCACACAAAGAAATTTTACCCCCATTGTGAAAACACCAATGTAAATTATACCTTTAGCTATGATCATAAACACTAGCAAAGACATCTTTTATCCTTAAAGCTCCCTATAAAAAGTATACTCCCATCTATTCTTAAAGTTTAAGATTTAAAAACAAACAGTCCTAGGATGTAGCTTAATTGGTAAAGCATTTGCCTATTATGCAAGAGTCCCTGGGTTCAATGTTACCACTTTAAAAAAAAAAAAAATAGGGCTGGAGTTTTGGCTCAGTGACAGAGCACTTGCCTAGCCGCGTGAGGCACTGGGTTTGATCCTCAGCACCATATTAAGAATATAAACAAGGGGCTGGGGATGTTGCTCAAGTGGTAACGCGCTCGCCTAGCGTGTGTGAGGCACTGGGTTTGATTCTCGGCACCACATAAAAATCAATAAAGATACTGTGTCCATCTCAAACTGAAAAATAAATATTTTTTAAAAAAGAATATAAACAAATAAAATAAAGTGATTGTGTCCATCCACAACTAAAAATATTTTTTAAATATATTTTAGTTGTAGATGGACACAATATCTTTACTTAGTTATTTTTATGTGGTGCTGAGGATCGAACCCAAGACCTTCGCACATGCTAGGCGAGCACTCTACCGCTGAGCCACAACCCCAGCCCAAAATATTTTTAAAATAAATAAAAGATAAAAACAAAACTTGTGGGGCTGGGGCTGTGGCTCAGCGGTATCGCACTTGCCTGGCATGTGTGAGGCACTGGGTTCGATTCTCAGCACCACATAAAATAATAAATAAAGGTCTATTAACAACTAAAAAAAAAATTTAAAAAAAAAAACTTGTCCTCTCACTCCTACATCACACATCCTTCAACCCACCACTCCTACTTCTTCTTTATCTTTGGTTAAAATAACCATTTATAACTTATTGTTTCTTTGAATGTAAGACAACCAATAATGATATCATTATTTTATGTATCACCAAAACTGAGGGGGGACTGCCAATTATAGTTTTAAGATACCAATTTAAAAAATACTAAAATGTGAAAACATATACTTAAAATCAATGAAATATGGTAATCTCATTCTATTAACATGAACTAGAACATGATGTATAAAAGATTCATTATCTATGTTCTTTTATATATATATGTGTGTGTGTGTATATATATATATATATTTATTTATTTTTGGTTAGACATAATACCTTTATTTTGTTTATTTTATTTTTACGTGGTGTTGAGGATCGAACCCAGGGCCTCGAGCATGCTAGGCGAGCGCTCTACCGCTGAGCCACAACCAGCCCAATATCTATTTTCTTTACATGAACCGAACGCTATACTTGACTGGGAACCTTTGGGTTAGTGTATTTTCCAAAGTGCTTTGCAAAGGTTTCTTAACAGGCACATATTGGGGCTGGGGTTGTGGCTCAGTGGTAAAGCGCTTGCTTAGCATGTGTGGGATCAATTGCTTAGCACTGGGTTCAATTCTTAGCACCACATATAAATAAATTAATAAAATAAAGGTCCATCAACATCTAAAAAAATATTTTAAATAAATAAATAAGTAAAATAGGGGACTGGGGATATAGCTCAGTTGGTAGAGTGCTTGCCTCGCATGCACAAAGCCCTGGGTTCAATCCCCAGCACAAAAAAGGAAGGAAGGAAGGACAAAAATAAAGGTATCATGTCCATCTACAACAAAAAATTACTACAAAAATAAAAAATTTTAAACAACAGTCCTTATATAAAACCTACTGAATTGTGTTTTCCTTCATTTGACACTATGAAAACTGATACTACAAGTATTTCATTGACCTGCTGGCAAGAAGAATGGCATTTTAGTTTTAATTAGAAACTTCTCACAAACCTCAGACAACTGAAGAGAAGCAAAAAAGTTTGCATTTTCTGATATGTTCTTGAGTCTCTTCCTTTCATATGGTGACAATCCTGAAAAATCATCCTATAAAATTACACCAAAAATAATGTTATTTTACATAATCATTTAAAGCAAAAATACCTCATGAAACCAGATCTTTCATTGTCTGCATGTGTACCTTCTTTCAAATTGTACCCCCTCTATTCATTTGATAATGTCTTACCAAATAGCACATAACCTTTGCTGCACTGGATACTGAGTCTAAATTTGGGATAATCACAAAGTATTTGTATGTATTCCCAACTGAATACGAAGTGATCTGATATAAGAAGTCAAGTTCAAAAGCTAGATCTGAACTTGTGATCCTCCTCCCCCAGCCTCCTAAGCCACTGGAATTACAGGTGTGCACCACCATGTCCAACTAAAAGTTATGTTTATTAAACAAATGATTCCTGTTAAACACAGAATGAACAAATGCATTTGTTGCCATCTCCTCCTAAAAACCCACAAATACAACACTGAAATAAATATGAAAGTGAGATAAGATCCTAAAAGCTTTTAGAGGAAAAAATAACAATCAAGACTCAGAGAGGCACTAACTTCTCAAGATTAAGAAAAAGCCATAGGGGCTGCAGCTATAGCTACAGCTCAGTGGCAGAGTGCTTGCCTTGCATATGTGAGGCACTGGGTTCGATCTTCGCAGCATATAAAAATAAACAAAAGAAAAAGCTATAAGACAATAATACATTAAAAATGCTAAGAATGGGGGCTGGGACTATAGCTCAGTGGTAGAGCACTTGCCTCACACATGCGAGGCACTGGGTTCAATCCTCAGCACCACATAAAAATAAAGATACTGCGTCCATCTACAACTAAAAAATAAATTAAAAAAAAAAAAAAGTTAAGGATGGCCAGGCATGGTGGTGCATGCTCGTAATCCCAGAGGCTCAGGAAGCTGAGGCAGGAGGATTTCAAGTTCAAAGCCAGCCTCAGTAACTTAGCAAGGCCCTAAGCAACTCAGGGATACCCTGTCTCTAAATAAAATATTAAAAAGGGCTGGGGATATGGCTCAGTGGTTAAGTGCCCTTGGGTTCAATCCCCAGTACCCCTCCCAAAAAAGAAAAGCTAATGAAAAACTAGGGCCTGGGGATGTAACTCAGTGAAAGAATGCACACTTAGCACGTATGAGGCCCTGAGTTTGATCTGCAGCACCAGGTTAAAAAAAAAAAAAAAGTTCTACTGGAAAGATTAAATTATTTTCAACTTATAATCATAACTCCAATTAAGTCATCATTTGAATAGAGCTAACGATTTTTCATATCCCTTTTTTCAGGAAGCTACTATAAGTTGCACTTTACCAAAATGAAAGAATAAGCCAAGAAAGAGAGAAACATGGATCGCAGGGACATAAGTTCCAGCACAGATGCAATAAAAGATAAAAATTCAAAAGAAAATGGTAAAGGGTAGGCCTTTACCATTGAATAAAATGGTTCTGAATGGAATAAGATGATGGAGAGCACTAAGAGAATTTTGTGCAGGCCAGAAGCAGTGTCACACACATATAATTCCAGCTATTCGAGGCAGGAGGATCACAAGTTCGAGGCCAGACTAGTCAATTAAGCAAGATCCTGTCTCAAAAATAAATAAATAAAAGGGTTAGGGATCTAGCTCAGTGGTAGAGCGAGCCTTTTTTAGTGCCACCAAAAAAGAGAGAGAATGAGCGTATTTTGTGAAGAAAAAAAATAAAATCAAGACTTCAGGGACCTGGGTTGTGGCTCAGTAGTAGGGCATTTGCCTAGCATGTATGAGGCACTAGGTTAGATTCTGAGCACCACATATAAATAAATGAATAAAATAAAGGTTCATCAACATCTAAAAAATATATTTTTAAAAAAACTTCAGAAATCTTTGATTTTGAGCCCAGCACAGTGGCTTAGACATATTAACCCACTTCCTTAGGAGGTTGTGGCAGGAGGAACATTTGAGCCCAGGAGTTCAAGACCAGACTGGACAACATAGTAAAATCCTGTCAAAAAAAAGAAAAAGAATCTTCTTCAAGCAGGAAGGGTGGTGCACATCTGTAATCCCAGCAATTTTGGAGGCTGAATCAGAAGGATGTCAGGTTTGAGACCAGCCTGTTTTTAAAATGGGACCCCATCTTAAAAAAAGGAGGAGGGGGCTGGGAATGTAATTTAGTGGTAAAGCACCCCTAGGTTTAATCTCCAGTACCAGAAGTGGAGAAGATCTTTGATTTATATTGAGAAGTCTTACAACACAGATAATACTGGATTAAAGCTAATAAAAGTATAGAAAGGAAAAGTGTGTGTGTGTAATATGTGGTATAAGTGAAACAAATCCTTCCTTTATTTTTAAGCAAAGCTTAATTTTCCATATAAGTTAACAGCTACATTGGGAGAGAAAAAAGCTAAAAAGGTTGAAAGTGCCATTTGTTGTTGAACAGCAACAGAAAGGTGTGTGTCAGGAAATTGCCAGCTATTTGATTTTTGTTGTGTGTACATGTGAATTTTTCTTATATCAATATGTGCATGTACTACTGACCAAAATATTCTTCTCACATACATGCAAAATAGCCAGGCGTGGTGGCACATGCCTGTAATCCTAGTGACTTGGGAGGTCGAGGCAGGAGGATCATGAATTCAAAGCCAGCCTCAGCAACTCAGCAAGGCCCTAAGCAACTCAGTAAGAGCCTGTTTCTAATAAAATATAAAAGAGGGTTGGGGATGTGGCTTGTGGTTAAGCACACCTGGGTTCAATCCCTGGTACCAAAAAAAAAAAAAAATATATATATATATATATATATATATATGCAAAATAACATTGACAGCAAAGATGAAATTGGAAAGGTTCCATTTACCACTGCCTTTAAAACTGCCATCTTAAAGAAAAACACCACCATCAAATACAGTTGTACCCTCCTACCCAAAATTTTACTTCCCACAGTTTGTTACTTGAAGTCAACCATGGTTCAAAAGTAGCAAATGGACATTCCAGAAAGAAAACTTTTTTATTTATTTTTCTTTACAATATTGGGAATTGAACCCAGGGATGCTCTACCACTGAGCTACATCCCCAGTCCCTGCTGACCTTGAACTTACATTTCTCCTGCCTAAGACATCTGAGTCACTGAGATTATAGGCTTAAGCCACCAAACCTACCCAGAAATAAACAATTTTTAAGTTTTAAGTTGTATGTCTGAGTAGCATAATGAAACCTTAGTTCTGTTCCATTCTGCCCAGTGTCCCTCTGTCTAGCATATTCAAACTGTATATGCTACCCACCTGTTAGTAGCTATCTGGGTTATGAGATCAACTGCAGCAATATTATAGTGCTTGTGTTTAAGCAATCCTTATTTTACTTAATGGCCCCAAGACACAAGAGCAGTGATGCTGGCAATTTGGATATAACAGAGAAGCCGTATGGTGCTTCTTTTCTGTGAAAAGTTTAAAGTTCTCAGTACAAAAAGAAAAAAATACATCATGGGTAAGAACAGTACAATAATACTTTCTGAGGCCGAGTATGGTGACACATACCTGTAATCCTAGCTACTCCAGAGGCTGAAGCAGGAGGATTACCAGTTCAAGACCAACCTGGGTAATCTAGCAAGACCCCATCTCAAAAATAAAACTTAAAAAGGGATGGAAATGTGACTAAGTGGAAGAGTATTTGCCTAGCATAATCAAGGCCTTAGGTTCAATCCCCAGTTATGATGATGAATAAATTAGGCACAATAAGAAGCTAATAAGAAATTATTTTAATGAAACAGAATTATAAATGATATCATATGGTAAACTATGTGAATGTAGCCTGTCTCTCTCAGTCTCTCTACAAATATTTTATTATACTCACCCTTCTTGTTTACCATAAATAAGTGAAACCTCAGAAAGTAAAACTGGGGCCCTACTATAGTATACACAAGGTTTGGCAACATCCATTATTTCAGGCATCCACTGGGGTCTTGGAATATATATCTTCCCCAGAAAAGAAGGGACTATTGTAAACCCAGATGTGATGCACTGAGAACATATTTGCTTCTGAGACCATTCCCAGTAACACAAAACCTTTAATCATGAGAAAATGTCAAACAAACCAAAATTGAAGGAAAATATTTAAAATAACTGTCCAGTACTCTTTGAGTATTAAAGACATGAAAGATTGAGAAAGTGTTACATAGTGGAGGAGACTACAGAGACACACTATCTAAATCCTGTGTGTTCCTGGCCTGGGTGGTCAACAGGAATAAATATATGACTGGAAAAACTGGTGAAATCCAAACTCTATTTAACAATATTGTATCAAGGTTATGTAAGATGTTTGTAAGCTGGATGAAAAATATTCAGGATCTCCCCAAAACTATCTTTGCAAGTCTTCTATAAGCCAAAAATTATCTCAAAAATTTTATTTTCTTTTTGTTGCCTCAAAATTTAAAAAAAAAAAATCAACTGCTAAGAAATAATTTATAAAATATTTAACAGAAGAGTTGGGAAATAAAATTTAGAAAATTTCCCAAAAAATAGAATAAAATCTTATACTTGCAAGGCAAGGCTCTTATCTGTAATGCAGCAAAGTCTTCCTTCATTTGGGGAAAAAAATAAGCTTATAAACTAAATACTGTTCCTAAAGCATGGAACCACAAACTCTTAGTCATATTACTCTAAAAAGTTAATAAGTGTGGGGGATTATAACTCAATGATAGAATGCTGGTCTAGCAGGCACAAGAACCTAGGTTCAATCCCATCCCTGCAAAAGAGAAAAGATAATGAAACAGAAGGCCAGGGGATGCAGCTCGATGGTAAAGTGCTTGTCCGGTATGCACAAGGCCCTGGGTTCGATCCTCATGACCATAAAACACAACTCACACACACAACCCACCAACAACTAAAACAAAAATTTAAGGAGCTGGGGTTGTGGCTCAGTGGTAGAGCGCTTGCCTAGCATGTGTGAGGTACTGGATTCAATTCTGAGCACCATGTATAATAAATGAATAAAATTAAGGTCCATCCACATATTAAAAAACAAAATTTTTTTTCCAAGTACATTTTTAAAAAAGGAAGAGAACACGCCAGGCCCAGTGGCGCACCCACACTCCTGTAATCCTAGCCACTGGGGAGGCTGAGTCATGAGTTCAAAGCCAGCCTCAACAAAAAACAAGGTGCTAAGCAACTCAGTGAGACCCTGTCTCTAAATAAAATACAAAATAAAGCTGGGGATGTGGCTCGGGGATCAAATGCCCCCGAGTTCAATCCCAGGTTACCAAAAAAAAAAAAAAAAGGAAGAGAAAATAATAAAATGTTCTATTTAAAATGTTATAATTTAGTTTGTCCTAGGAAAAATGTATTCTATGCATTTATGGTTCTGCTTGACTATCTCCCTCCTGCTGATCATATTTTCTCACATCAAATTAAATCCATTTTATATTAACTTCCTTACACTCTAAGAGGCCAAAAAGATTCTGACCAGTGGTTCTCAAAGCTCCATTCCAGACCAACAGCATGGACCAACAGCACCAAAGTCTCCAGGAAACCACATTAAAAATGCAAATTCTATGCTCCACCTAAATCCAGTGCTCTACAACTGCACTATATTCTCCGCCTTTTTCTTTCTTTTTTGAGACAGTGTTACTAAATTGCCAAGGCTGGCCTTGAATTTGAGATCCTCCTTTCCTCCTAGCCTCAACCTCTAGAGTCACTGGGATTAAAGTAACTGGGAGTACAGGAGTGAGCCACCATGCCGACCCTCTCCAGGTAATTCTGATACTGGCTAAATTCTGAGAACCACTGATTTATCCAATCTTCTCATTAGGGAGGTTATTGGCTTAAAGGAACAAGATTTCTTAGAAGTTGACTCGCCTAGAAACTAGGCTCCCAACCCCTATTTCCATGCACTTATGATTTACCCTTTTACTGTCCCACATGGGTCTGGATTCTTACCTATGGGACAATAATGCATAAAACAAATGCCTATTTCATAACAAAAACTTTTCAATTATCATGTCTCTCTTTCCCTAGCTTCATTTTCTGTTGCTCTAGTTCCATCAACTTTTTGTCATGTGACATGGTTTATCTTGTCCTGCCTGAAGTTGCCACTCAGAAAGCCAGGAGAACCACCCAATCCATGTTTTTACCCTGGACCCCGTGATTCAGATGTCTATAGTACTGGGGTTTCGCTTTGAAAAACACTGTCACTTCTCCTAAGGGAAAAACTACTTAAAAATTAAAAAAAAAAAAAAAAACTACTGCCTAGGCAGAAGACAAAAGAATTAGATTCCTTAAACTGACTCCAACCATTCAACAGAACTAATGAGTATTTCTCTTTTGTGTTAACTCTACTTCATTTGTCTCCTTTTGTTTTTAAAAGTAATGCAATCAATTAATGATTGTGTTCCTACCCTGACATCAAAGGTCAATTGCGTATGTCCCACAGGCTGAAAACTTCTGGTAAACCATGCAAATATGTAAAGGTTAAGGGCTGGGGATATGGTTCAGCAGTAGAGCACTCACTTAGCACTTGCAAGGACCTGGGTTTGATCCTCAGCACCACATAAATATAAATAATAAAATAAAGGTATTGTGTCCAACTACAACTAAAAAATAAAATTTAAAAAAAGTAAAGGTTAGCAAGGCACAATCAAGTATGAGTAAGCTCAAAAATATATGCAATAAACTGAGAGGGAAAAAAAGGAACTAAAATTAATCCAAGGAGGTTATCTGGTAAATATTTAAAACACAAAATTTCCACTAAACACATTAAATTATAAAATAATTTTATTGCACTTAAGACCTTTGATGACCTTATAGAACTTCAAATTTCAAAACAGCCAAGAAAAATTAGAACTACTAATTAAATTCTTACCAGGCCAGGTGTGGTATCTTCATCACTGCTTTCCATATCAACCTTGCAAATCATGGCATCTGAACTGTTCTTGTGTTCTAGTTTGTTACTTTCAGCATGAACATCTAAGGATGATTTTTGCAGAGTAGATTCTGCCTTGGAAGATATGGCTTTCATTTTTGGAATTAATTTTTTTTTGCAAGTTTTCTTTAATTGAGTCTTCTTAAACTTCTTACACATCACTGCATCATTAGAATTCTTTTCTAATAGGGATTTGGGGCACTTAAATTGACCTAACTTGTAATTAGTGAGTGAAAAGGGAGCAAGATAAACCTTAGCTGTTTTTCCTAGAACTGTAGTCTGTTCTGGTCTCAGAGATACGAAAACGACGTTTTGATTTTCTTTATATTCATTCACCTATTCAAGTCAATAAAGGAAAACAGTATTAGAAACCCAAGTCCTCTGCCTTTTCTTACAAGATCACAACTAATCTCCGTTAACAAATCTAATCTCCATTTCATGACAACATAATTCAAACTGATAGCCTGTAAGGAAACTTCTTCCCCGCCTCCAAAATCTCTATTCATAATTCATTAGCTTGAATGAAATTACTGAGTTTTATTGAGCAAATTTCTTTTCCATAGGAGCTTATCAAAGCAATAAATAATGACTAGCGTTTGTAACTTAAGGGACTACTCCAACTGTCAGCTTCACAGTAACTTAATAAAGTTGCTAAAGCAAATGCTGGGGGCATGAGAAAAGGAGATCCCAGGTCCCATCCTGTCATTATTTCTAGGATTGTTGACAACAGCCTTCCTGTTGTTCTGGCACTGAAGGCCTAGTTTTCCACAGAAAACCAGGACAGAGATCCTCGCTTATCCCGGGTGCCAGGCAACGGTGCCCAGCAAATCCCAAAGACTGAGACAGGAGAAACAGAAAACCGTCAGACCGCTTCTCACCTTCACCTGGTTACGCTGTCTGGAGCAAGCCTTCTCCTCGGCCTCCGCGCTTAACCGCGACATCTTTCTACCGCTTAGCAGCTGACGCCTTCCCGCCAAGACCGCTCGGGAGCCCGGGGTGGGCGGGCCTTGGGGGAGTTCTAGAGGGAGGGGCAGCCCAGCCGGGATTTGAGTCCCGGGAAGCGGAGCCCCGCTCAGCTGACCTGGCAGCAGCGGGAGAACTGCCCCAATCCACGTTTTTACCCTGGACTCTGTGATTCAGGTGTCTGTGGTACTGGGGTTTCGCTCTGAAAAACACTGGCGCGGGGCTGGGGCTGGGCCGTGGAGCATTTGCCTTGCACGTGTGAGGCCCTGGGTTCTATCCTCAGCACCACGTAAAAATAAATAAGTAAAATAAAGGTATTGTGTCCATCTACAACTAAAAAAAAAAAGGAAAGAAAGAAAAACACTGGCGCTTCTCCTAAGGGAAAAACTACTGCCCTGCGACGTGAGTCTGGAAAAAGTTAAGACGCACGTAGGTGCCATAAGGAACGGAGGGCAAAGGAAATAAAAATTAATACGCAATGCAGGCTTTACCTAGGCCATTACTTCCTTGTAACTCCACTACCAAAAATGATGCCCCTTTATTATATCTTCTTCCTGGGAAAGGAAGTATCCCTGGCCACAAAATTTAAACCTCTTACTTCAGCCTCCCACATAGTTGGGATTATAGGAGTGCTCCACCGTCCCCAAAATAAATCTTTTTAAAATTATGTCTACTCTTTATGTCTCTATCTCTCTCCAAACTGCTTCCTTGGTTCACTAATTGAATCACCACTGTTCTTTGCTTGACACTTGCCAATTTAGTGACAGAGGTACTGAGACTGACCTGAGGGGCACCACTGAGTTACATCCCCAGCCCTTTTTATTTTTTGAGAAAGGGTCTCACTAAATTTCTGAGGCTGACTTGCAATCCTCCAGCTTCATTCTCTCCAATCACTGGGAATACAGGCGGGGCACACCATGCTCGGTGCCGACTTAATTTCTTTTCCCAGTCAGGGCCCAGCTTTAAAATAATTTGAAAGTTAATTTGTTGCATCTTCAAGATCTTCCATGACCTCGTATGCATGGAATTTTCTCTTGACTCAAAAATTACTGATAAACCAAACTTTTCAGTGACCCATATATACCGTACTATTTCTGGACTTCAAAGATTCTGCTCACGCTAACCCTTCTCTCCCCAAACATGGTAATTATAAAGCCCTTCCTAAGGTGAAGCGTGTTATGACTTCCAATAAGTCAATTTGTTTTACACAGCTCAGCTGTAAATTGGAATTGCTTGTTATTATTCTAAAAGTTCTTTAAGACTTCCTAAATAAAACTCAGTTTTCTTGGACTTTAACAATAGTCCATACTCTTTTCAGAGCCTAAACACAGTTAAAATAAGCACTTAATTACTTTGGAAATTAAATGCAATTTCCAGCCAAGAATGGATTTTAATACGCAGTTTCCAGAATCCCCATCCAATGGACGGATTAAACTAATTCTTCTGCGTGTTCAACAATCTAGACAAACAACTTGTTATCTCCTCAGTTTCTTGTTCACGGCCAGATAGCCGGACCCGACGGCGCACGCCTGTAATCCCAGGGATTCTAGAGGCAGAGACAGGACGATCGCCAGTTCAATAACATCCTCAGCAATTTAGCGGCACCCTGTCTCAAAATAAAAAATAAAAAGGGCTGGGCATGTAGCTTAGTGGTAGAACGCCCTTGCATTCAATTCCCAGACCAAAAAGAACGAAACTTCCTTGCCCTACAGCCAAACCCAAAGGAAGCAACTTCCCACGAGAACGGGATTCCAAATTTTGCAAGGTTGAGGACCCGGAAGGCACGGAGAGGTGGGGGTCTGGAGGAGGGGTGGGGACGGGGGAGGGGCGCCTAAGGACATGCGCAATAACAGACTCAATTTTTAAGCGGCCTGCGCTCAGAAGTCCTCCAAAATCCCACAATCCTCTCGTAACACATTTCCGGTTTACCTAGCTCTGACGTAAAAGTAGTTTCTATCAGTCGTGCTGTCGTGCCGGGCGTACCTAGGTTGGAAGTAGTTTAGCTGTTCGTTGTTAGTGTTCGCTGCTTATAATCAGTCGAGTTTCGGGAATCAACACCGCTGCAATCAACATGTCGGTCCCAAGCGCACTCATGAAGCAACCGCCCATTCAGTCTACGGCTGGGGCCGTCCCCGTTCGCAATGAGAAAGGTAACTGTGCTCACCCCTCTCCCAGTCAGATCTTACCTCTCCCAGCCTCGGCATCCAAAACTCCCCCGGCTGGCCACCCGAACCCCGCTGGCCTCATTTCTTCTGCCTTTCCACACTAAAGTCGCACCCGTTCGCGTTGTCTGGGTTGAGGAGGGGATCTACTTTGCATCATATCTTGGTCTTGTGACCTGTCTGCTCTCGTACGGCAAGCACCCCTCTATTCTATTGGCCTCCACAAATTTCTTACATAGCAGTCTGTTTAGGCTGCTTTGATAACTCTTATCAAGTATTGTAGTTATTTACGTGTCTATCTTCCCCTAGAAGACCATAACTTCGTTCAGGCCGGGAACCGTGTCTTCGAATAGAAAGTTGTGTAAGGTAGTGCCCCAACTTTAAGGCATTCACATTCTAGTGCATGTAAGACATGAAAAAAGAGGTACATGCCAAGCAGATTGGGGTAATCAAGAAAAGCTTCTTGAAGACAGTGTCATTTAATTTGATCCTTAAAGAACGGGTATGATTTCAATAAGTGCAGATGTAGGAGGGACCAAAGTTTTTTCAGTAAAAATGTCGGAAAAGAATATCATTTTTTTTTCTTATTCTTTAAATATCCTGTATCAAACTTTGTGCAACTTGCCTATTTGGTGGTGGGGGGGGGGGGGGATGCTGTTCATTAAACCCAGGCCTTCTGCATGATAGTCAGATGTTCTACCACAGAACTACACCATTTTTTCTTTCTTTAATTCAACATGACTTTTGAGAATTTTTTAATACATATCAATTTCATTCATTTTAACTGCTTTTAAATTCCATTATATAAATAAATAAACCACAATTTATTCCCTCCTGATGGGTAGTTAGTAGTTAGTTGTTGCCATGTTGTTTTTCCTTTTATTGCAGAAGCCTGCAGTTGTCATCCTTTTTTGTTGTTGTTGTTGTCAATGGGTCTTTATTATATAGGGTGTTAAGAATCAAACCCAGTGCCTCACACATGTTATGCAAGTGCTCTACCACTGAGCTACAACCCCAGCCCCAGTTGTCACTCTTTTTTTTTTCCTAGAAGTAGTTGCACACAATACCTTTATTTTATTTATTTATTTTTATGTGGCGCTGAGGGCCTTGCACATGCTAGATGATCGCTCTGCCACTGAGCCACAATCCCAGCCCCTAGTTGTCATTCTTAAATGTATCTATTGGATACCTTTTTTTTTTTTTTTTTTTTGGTACTGGGGATTGAACTCAGAGGCACTTAACTACTGAGCCACATCCCCAGCCCTTTTTTGTATTTTGTTTAGAGAAAGGTCTCAGTGAGTTATTTAGCACCTTACTAAATTTCTGAGGATGACTTTGAACTCATGATTCTCCTGCCTCAACCCCTTAAATTTACCACTGGATTACAAGACTGAGCCATCATGCCTGGCTTTGTGATACATTTATGTAAAAATTTCCTTAGGGAGGAGTGTCCTAGAAGTCATCAACTTTACTATCTGTTACCAATTGTTCTCCAAAGTAAGTTATAAGAACTTCATAGTTTTTATTTCCAAGACATTCATCCACACTTCATTGTATGGGATCTTTCTTTTTTTTTTTTATTTCTTTGTAGTGGGGATTGAATCCAAGGCACTTACCACTGAGCTACCTGCCCAGTCCTTTTTTTTTTTTTTTTTTTTTTTTTTTTTTTGCAGTTGTATATGGACTGCATGCCTTTATCTTATTTGTTTATTTTTGTGCGGTGCTGAGACTCAAACCCATTGTCTCACACATGCAAGGCAAGCGCTCTGCCACTTAGCTACAGCCTCAGCCCTACTGCCTAGCCTTTTATTTTTTTATTTTGAGACAGGGTCTTGCTGAGTTGTTTAGGGCCTCATTACATTTCTGAGCCTGGCCTAAAACTTGTGATCCTCTTGTCTCAGCCTCCCAAGCTGCTAGGATTTCAGGCATACACTACTGTGCCCAGCTTCCAGGCTGGTCTTAAACTCCTGGGATCAATTAATCGTACCTCAGTCTCCAGAATACACCTGATTACTTTTTTTAGAAAATTTTTTTATTCTAATTTGTTACAAACCTGACTACCATGGGGTGGGGGGGCAGGTAGTGGTGTTAGGAACTAAACCCAGGACCTCATGCATATTAGGCAAGCACTCTATCATTTCACTACATCCCAAGTCCCTAATTTACTATAACTTTAAGCCTTGCTCTTTGGTACAAACCACCTCCCCCTTTACCCCTTCCATTTTATTCTTCATCAGAATTATCTTAGTTCTTTTCGGCCTCCTATCCTTCTATATGATTTTAGAAACAGCCTGGGGCAACTTTTAATGGAATTGCATTAAAATTATAGATTATAGATTATACGTTTATAGGATAATTCAGGCACAGTTACGATCTTCTCATCCTTGAACATGATATATTTCTCCATTTATTTAGAGCTTTTATATCTTTGAATAAAATTATACTTTTCCTCCTAAAGGCATTATTTTACTTGTTGAATTTATTTCTTGGTATTGAGTAGTTGCCGATGTAAATGGTATTTTAAACAATATTTTCTAATTATACATAGTTATACATAAATACACTGTGTGTGTGTGTTGGGGTGGTGGTGCTGGGGATTGAAACCAGGGCCTTGTGCATGCAAGGCAAGCACTCTACCAATTAAGCCATATCCCCGGACCCAAACACTTTTTCTTGTTTATTTATTTATTTATTTATTTTAATTGTTAATGGATCTTTATTTTATTTATTTATATGTGGTGCTGAGAATCGAACCCAGTGCCTCACACATGCTAGGCAAGTACTTTATCACTGAGGCACAACCCCAGCTGCCCCATACAAGTTTTTTGTTTTTGTTTTGGCTTGGTTTTTGGTACCAGAGATTGAACTCAGGGGCACTCA